GAGTGATCCTCCTGCCTCAGCCTCCCGAGTAGCTGGGACTACAGGCACGCGCCACTACACCCGGCTAATTTTTTAAATTTTTTATAGAGACAAGGGTCTCACTATGTTGCCCAGGCTGATCTCTTGAACTCCTGGCCTCAAGCGATCCTTCCCCCTTCAGCCTTCCAAAGTGCTGGAATTACAGGTATGAGGACTGAAAGAGGCATATTATGAATTTATAACAAAAGACACTCCTACCACTCAGGAAATACCAAAAGTTCTAGGAGTCTAGAACCAGGACAAGACCAAATATGTTTCTTATTATATCACACATTTGAAAATGTCAATCCCTTTGTACACGATGTTCTACTCCAACAGGGAAGATCAGACCTTTCCCGGCAATCCTAGGTGCTTACAATCTCTTCTCTCCATGGCCCAACTCCAGGATTCACACCTCTCTTCCAGATACCACTTATGGTCCTCCCAGAGCCTGTCCATACCTCCATCTCCCCAAATGGATTGAGAACAAATGATTAACACTGACAAGGTTTAAAAAGTCCCATATACTCTATTTAAGAAGGCAAAGAAACATTCAAAAGCAAGACCAAGAATAGTTACAAGAAAGGAATTTTTCAGCCCTTTATTACGGATTCTTTATTTTGTGATTTTTTACATCTTGAAGATGGGATCATTTGCCTTTAAAAAGTAAAATTCCTTTTAGTCAGTATTCTATTTTGATTCTTAGCTCTTCAAAGCATAATTCTGGTTGAGGAAAGGTGAACATTATCCTACATCTCTCTCACCACCATGCTCTGAAATGCACCCAAACCCACAGAGAGAGACTAACGCATGCGGGAAGGCAGCATAGGATATTGATAGGAGGCTTAACCACATCCATCTGAGAGATACACAGCGCAAACGTCACTGCACTGGCAGAACACAATGTCTCAGGAATGGCATAAATGACAAGTCACGGAAGCACTGGAGGAGAACACTTCCTATCTAAGGGAGTTTGTAGTCAGACAAAAGTTTGGCATAGACAAAGCACTGCGGGTGTCTCTTGGACAGAGCAAAACATGCCTGAGCCCTTCTCGCTGAAATCCCATTTGACGTTCATTCTCACTGGGCATTAACCAGAAAGCCACATTCGACCAAAGTAAAGCCAGAGTAATCGATTGATTTTTTTATCTCATGAATCACCTTATCAGTGACCACTCTCTAAATCAAGGCAGTTTCTTTATGGCAAAGGAATAGCGAAAGCCCAGAGGCCTGGGCCGGGGATCTTGTAGGGGCCTCCCCGAGGATGAAGGTGGAGGGGTTTGCGTGCCTGGAGGCGCAGCCTTGGACATGGCTGGGCCTTTGGGCATCATTTGGTCCCCACTCTGCCACCACAACCACCTGCTAACGTGCTCATTCTCCCAAATGTCAGAACTCAGCATCCCATGGGGGCGTAGGATCTGAGTTAGTTGGTCATTCAGGACCCCTGGAGCTGTCCCAGGACTGTCCTCAGCAGTAGGGACAACCATGCACCAGAAAACAACAGAAACCACACCCGTTCTGTTTTACACGCGATGCACGCGTATCCTCTGTCCTTGAGATCTACTCAACCCAGCGTCCACAAATCTCTTGGATAGGCCTTTATGTGTGTGTGTGAAGCTTTGAGATGTAATTCATATACCATACAATTCAGCAGTTCTTAGTGTACGACAGAGCTGTGCAACCACTACAGTGAATTTTAGAATATTTTCATCATCCCAAAAAGAGACTCTGTACCCTTCCACTCCATCTCCCCCAATGCTCCCCTTTCTCTGTTCTAGGCAACCACAAATCTTCCTGTCGGTATGGATTTGGCTATTCTGGACATTTCATATAAATGGAATCACATAATACATGGTCTTTTGTGACTGGCTGCTTTCACTAGGCATCATGTTTTCAAGGCTCTTTCATGTTGTAGCATGTTTAAGTACCTCATTTCTTTTTATTGCCAAATAATATGCCATTGTATGGAAATAGCGAATTTTGTTTATCCATTCATCAGGTGATGGACATTTGGGTTTTTTCTACTTTCTGGCAATTATGAATAATGCTGCTATGAACATTTGTGTATAAGTTTTTGAGTGAACATGTGGTTTAGATGGGCTTTTAGGGGGTTTGAACCCTCTGACACATTCACAAATATTGTATGTATATGTACTTTTCAAACATGAAGATGCAGAGTATTCATCAGACTGACCAAGTAGGTAGAGCCCCTGCCTAGGTAATCAGCACAGGCTCCCCACTGGCCTTCGAGGCCCCGTACAATGCTGCCTGCCTTTTCCATGGGCCTTTAAGACACACTTGGGGCTCAGCTACCTGTTCCATGGTGTGCTTCTATGCTTCCTATAAGTCACTTAGCTCTCTATACCTCAGCTGCTCATTTGCAAACTGGAGATAATGACAGGACATCCTATCACATATGCCTCTTCTGATGATTAAGGAGACAGTGTCTATAAAGTGTCGAGCAGAATGCCTGGGTCAGTAACTCTTGGATGTGACACCTTTATGACCTGGCCAAGGTAAACTGCCTCTGACCTCCAAAATGTCCCATGCTTTGCCATTTCTGCACCTTTGCTTCTATTACAGAAGAAGGGGAGAACAAAAGAGGGCAAGGGAACATGCTTGCTAGCTAAAGGGGGACGGTCCAGGAGGGCTTTACTTTGTTTTTAGGTCCTAGAGCCCCTAGTGAAGCACTATTTGGCTGCAAAATGGGAGTTGACAGATAGAAAAGCTGATAAAACGCAGGTGGAGGAAATATGAGAACAGGATCTTGGCCTGGAGGAAGAAGGCAGGGAGGGGATTCAGAGCTCAGAGGTCCTCCTAGAGGCCACTGGGCAGGAAGTGAGGGTGAGGCAGAGAGATAAGTCTGACAGGAAGCTGAGGGAACAGAGGAGTTGCACCTGAGAGCCGCAGGAGGATGAGGTCCTCAGTGGACGGGGTGGGGAGAGAGAAGATGGCCTCAGGAGGGTGGCGAAGGTTGGGAAGGCCAATGGGGGAGGGCAGCAGAGAGAGACCAAGGAGTGCCATGCATGCCCAAGGGCTTCTGGAGGTGGGAGGCAGGGAGGGGATCATGGCGGTGAGTGCACCGGAGAGGTCCTCCAGCCCAGCTCAGTTACGGGTGAACCCGCAGAGGACCCATGGTGGACCCCTTCAGAATGGAAGATGAGCGAGGGAGGCAGTGGAAGGACAAGGGGGCACTGGATTGATGGCTTCTAAAAAAGGACAGTGGTGACCACTAGGCTGGACAGAGGAGGAACTGAGGCCTTAATGGCGGAGAGTTTCAGGTCATTAATAAGATCTAAGAGCACGCTTGGTAGGCATGACAGCTGGGGGCTAGAGACGTGTGGCCAGAGAGAGAATATTAAAGCTGAACATCCCAGAGGTGTGTTCACCAAGGTGTACCAACAGCCCCCAAAGAACCCCCGTGCCCATTTACAGCCACTCTCCATTCCCACTCTCAGCCCTAGGCAAGCAGCAAGCTTTCTGTTTTCATAGATTTGCCTTTTCTAAATATTTCATATACATGGGGTTAAAACATGTGGCCTTTTATGTCTGGCTGCTTGTACTTGGCATAGTGCTTTTCAGATGCACGTGTGTTGTGGGATGTGTTAGCACTCTGTTCTTTTTACTGATAAATAGCATTCCACTCGTGGACATGCCACCTTTTATCCATTCGTCACTTGATGGACATTTGGCTTATTTCCAGTTGTGGTTATTATGAATAATACCACTATATATAATACTGCTATAAATAATACTGCATATTTGAATATAAGTTTCTCTGTGAACATATGTTCTCCTTTCTCTTGGGTATATACCTAGGAGTAGAATTGCGGGGTCCTATGGTAATTCTGTATTTAACCCTTGAAGAAACTGCCAAACTATGTCCAAAATGTTCGTACCATCTTTTACATTCCCACCAGCAAGGCAGGAGGGTTCCCTTTGCTCCACATCCTTGCCAACATTTGTCACTGTCCCTTTTATCGTTATAGCCATTCTTGTGGGTGTCAAGTAGTATTTCATTGTGGTTTTGACTTGCATTTCCACAATGATCAATTATGTTGAGCATTAAGCATCTTTTCACATACTTATTAGCCATTTGTATACTTTCTATGGTAAAATGCCTATTCAAGTCCTTTGCCCATTTTTGGATTAGGTTGTTTGTATATTACTGAGTTGTAAGAATCCTTTACATATTCTAGATACAAGTCTTTTGTTGGATATATGACTTGAAAATTATTTTCTCCGAATCTGTGGCTTGGATTTTCATTTCCTTAGTTATGTCTTCTAAAGAGCAAATATTTTTATTTTTATTTATTTATTTTAAGACGGGCTTCGTTCTGCCACCCGAGCTACAGTACAGTGTCATCATCATAGCTCACTGCAACCTTGAACTCCTGAGCTCAAGCGATCCTCCTACCTCAGCCTCCTGAGTAGCTGGGACTACAGATGCACACCACCATACCCAGGTAATTTTTCTATTTTTTGTAGAGACAGGTTCTTGCTCTTGCTCAGGCTGATCTCCAACTCCTGGCCTCAAGGGATCCTCTCACCTTGGTCTCCCAAAGTGGTAGGATTCATAGGATTACAGATCTGAGCCACTGGTTTATGTTTCAACTGAGCCAGGTGAGAGATGATGAAGAATTAGGAGTATGAGGTTTGAAATCAGACAACATAGGTTCATCTGAGCTGTACCACTTGATATCTGTGTGACCTCAGGAAAGTTTTAAGAAGTCTTTTTTTTTTTTTGAGACAGGGTCTCATTTTTTTGTCACCTGGGGTAGAGTGTAGTGGTGTCATCATAGCTCACTGCAACCTCCAACTCCTGGACTCAAGAGATCCTCCTGCCTTAGCCTCCCAAGTAGCTGTGACTACAGGCATGTGCCACCACACCTGGCCTTAACAGCTCTTTTTGATTCTTTCTCAGCCACTAACAACCAGATGTTTGAAGCCTCAATTCAAACCCTTCCCATGAAGTCACATACCTTGGTCCATCCAGGAAACTGGATAAAGGTATCCTGGGGCAAGTCTGGGATCCCACTGAAAATGGAGAAGTTCCCCACATAGAAGGCCGGGAGCGTGTAGTTAGATGAGCTGTGGGCTTTACCACGGTAGCTGTCATCCTGGCCATCCCAGCCCCCCAGGTGGCTGTATACTGCATCCTCGGTGTCTAGTGGGAAGATCGTCCAGCCCGTGAGGATACTGGAGTTGAGGGTCAGGTTAGAAACCAAGCCCTAAAAAGGAGAAACAGCACAATGAGCTGGAGAGGAAAGGAAAAAGGCTTCTCATGTCTCTGCATCTCAGCCCTCAACTCCTGGGAAAAGCAAACCAGGATACAAAACACCAACAGGAGATGAGACTCAAACTATGTGCACATCGAAGTAACATGGGTCTAGCTTGAGGCAGAACCACAAATCCTTGGGAAGAGATGTATTTCCCAAACTATAGCTTTCTCTCTCCATTGGAGGTCAGGATGTCTCCATAACAGGGCCAGAGTTTCTGCTTCTACAGAAAGGGGGCTTAGCTGTCACAGGGTCTGACCTCGAATCCCCCAGCCTTCAGTGTTCGGTGCAGAGCCATTGCTAGAGTGGAAGAAAAGATGGAAGCTGAGGAATGGGACGAGCGAGTGGGATATTCACCCCACTGCAGAGGGCAGGAGGGGGACGGATACAGCCGGGAGCGAGCCCTGACCCGCAGCACCTCAGCAGTCCTCACAGGGACGATCAACCTGAGCCCGCTCACCTGCTGTGAGGACCAAATGAGCTAACAGCAATGAGAAACTCTGATATCTGTAAAAGGATACGAAGGGTAAGGATGGTGATGGCAAACCTTAGACTTGTATTGGGAAGTTGCTCTGTTGTTCCACAGGAGCCAGGGGCGGGGGTGTCCGTGGCAGCAGCCACAGACTGGCAGCCTATGCTCCCGGCTCATCTAACTTCCCCTTCCCAGGCTTGTATGTGGGGAATTCTCCACTCCCGGCGGGACCTGGCTGGATACCAAGTCTCAACCACCCATTTAGTAATTCAATAAACATTAACTAGGCAGCTGTGTGTCAGGCTCTCTGCTTGGCACTGGGGACCCAGAGACTACATGACTGAGTCCTAGTCACTCCACGGTCAGCGTGGCCTGTGAGAGCCTGGCAGGAAGGCCAATCATTACAGGCCGAGCACAGGGGTTTATGAGAGAGACATTCACACTGGAGGCAGAGGCGGCCGGCGCACAGCCGTCTTGCCTCTGAGCTGCCACTGAGAGGGTCAGGAAGGAGCCCCAGACACCTGTCCTGCCCTAGACTGGGGGTGCCATGGTTCCCTCGATGAGGTCTTCGGTCCTCGGGAAGATGGTGAGCTACTCTGGGGGGAGCCTGCATCTCAACATCTTTGCATTCCCTGAAGCACCTTGTAGAGCATCTAGCACAGAGTGTGAGCTTAACACGTCTGGTGAATAATGCTCTAAAAATATTTGTTAGAAAAACATGTTTGGACTAGACACCTGGGCAAAGGGTAACCAACAGAGGTGAGAGGGAGTGTACTAAGGGAAAAGGCTTTCTACAATTCAAGAGTTCATTATGGACCAATCGTCCAAACCGACAGCACAGGGCAGACTGAATGTTAACCTGGCTTTGTTGGCAAGAGTGCCTTCAGAGGACCGCGTGGGATTTTTAAGCAGAGGAAGAGCACGGTGGAGTAGCTTCCTCCTTCCGTTTCTTTCTACAGGATGAGCAATCTCAAACACAAGGGAAAGGTTCTGTTTTGCAAAGCTTAACTTTCTCATCACCTGGGGAGGAAAATAGCTCTTCAAAATAACTCAACTTCTAGGTTGCAAGACAAATCAGATAGGTTCACTCTTCAAACCTTTTGTGTGCTTTTACAAATTGCCTCTCTGATGCTAACTGGCTTGATTGTGATGATCATTTCACAATGTATACGTATATCAAAACATTGAGTACCTTAAATAGGAAAAATAACTTAAAAACTGCTGCTATGTTAATGGGGTAGAAGGAAAGAGTGTATGTGTGAGGGTTTGTAAATAGATACACGAAATCTTCCCCAGACTGCGTGGGCATAGTCTTGCCAACCCTTGAACGTCAGTCCTAGCAGTGCAGCCCCTCCTACCTTAAAATCATTGATATATTTGCCGTAGTTCACACGTCCCATGTTCTCCACCAGAAGGTCCAGAGTGGCCCCAGCCTTTCCCATTATGTTCAGAGTGATCACACTGTTTCGCTCAAGGATTCCCTGGGGGACCTGTGGGTTCAAGGCCAAATGAGAACAGAATTGAGAGCAAGAAGATCAGCAGGGGAAAAGGCAGCATGCTGTTCATTCAGCACTCACTTCCCTGCCTTGCAGTGTCAGACTTGGTAAGGAATGCTCTGACGGCTCCTTAGCCCAAGTCACTGGCCAGGTTCCCCCAGCCGCTGCTTCCTAGCTGGGAAAATTGCCAGACAGCTCAGAGCATGGGAAGGTCTAGGCTGGTTTCCTTCGCCCTGAAATGTTTTACTGTTCATCTTCATCTTTTTTTTTTCTTTTTACATAGAACTGTGGTTCAGAAGGAACCGTGCATCTATCTTTAATGGAAAAAGGTGGAGGCAAAATGCCAGGGGAGGATTTCTAGTAAAGGGATTGCATTGTGTTCTCACAGCACAGATCAGTCATAAAAGAATAGCTTCTAAACAACATGGAGAGCTGAGACAAAATCAGATAAACGAGATAAAATCAGAGAGTTAGGTGGAGTATTCTCACCTCAAAAATACTTGATATGATACATTAACCATGAAAATTATATAACAGAATGAGGAGCAACAGCAGGTATTTTATCAGCAACATAGTCCTAATTTTCTTTTTTTTTTTTTTTTGAGACAGAGTCTCGCTCTGTCACCTAGGCTACAGTGCTGTGGCATCAGCCTAGCTGACAGCAACCTCAAACTCCTGGGCTCGAGCGATGCTCCTGCCTCAGCCTCCCGAGTAGCTGGAACTACAGGCATGCACCACCATGCCCGGCTAATTTTTTTCTATATATTTTCAGGTGTCCGATTAATTTCTTTCTATTTTCGGTAGAGACGGGGTCTCGCTCTTGCTCAGGCTGGTCTCGAACTCCTGAGCTCAAACGATCCTCACGCCTCGGCCTCCCAGAGTGCTAGGATTACAGGCGTGAGCCACTGCGCCCGGCCATGTCTTAATGTCTTAGAAACTCGCTCCCACTGAAATGAAAGCTGCTGATAACAAGAGAATAGAAATATTTGAATCTTAGATTTTCTAAACAAATTTTCTTGGTTCAGAAAATCTTTTAATGTGTTCTTTCCTATGATTCTTTCAGTGAGAGGAGTGGAAATCCTAAGATGTAACTGCATTTTGTTATGAAACAAAGTTCTTTGTGCATTTTAGTACTAATTATCATAAGCAATCTTTCAGAATATAATTTCTCATGCGGGATAAAGGCACAAAGTTCAATCCACTTTGATTAGTGGCATGTACAAAACTACACAGGAAATGTCCTTTGCTTAAGGAGTGAAGAATGCCTGGGAACATGCTGTGGTCGCTCAGAGAAGGATGGTCTTGGCTTCTGAGAGGGTGGGGCCTCGAGCAGAGCCCTTGTGGTTAAAATGGGGGCGGGGTGTATCCCAGGCAAATGGTGCATTCCTGAGGCCACATAGCAAGTGGGGCACAGCTCAGGGACATCAAGAAGAGAGATGGAGCCTGAGGTTGAAGAGGTGAGCAAAGGCCTCGAATGCCAAGCTAACAAGTGCAGACTGCTCATTTCCCCTTGGGGCAAAAATGCACAGTTCAGAGAAGATGCTTACCCCATCCACAGAGACATAGGCCCGATCATGGACTCCATTGAGGGGTGAAGAGAGAGGTGTTGGGCTGCTGCAATCTTGAGGAAGTGTTGTTCGGTACAGCACAAACCCAAAATACTGGTTAGAAAAAGATTTAAGAAAAATGTATCACTCTTGCTGTTCATTTAAAGAGAACTTGGTTACCCTTGATTTGTATAAAAGTGACATTTCAAAAACCATAAAATGAAAAGCTTCCCCCCACCTCCAGGAAAATTGAATCTGAAAAAGGAAAACAAAAATTCAATCTTAAATTTTTAGATCACAGAATAACTATCATAATAATAAAATGCAATGAACCCCAAAGAGTGTCTTATCAAGGATCCCTTTCCCACAGAAGACACTGGACCCTGGGCGAGTTAAGTCATTTGCCCAGGGTTACCCAGGTGATTATATTATATATATATCAAAAGTTGTGGATGTTAACTCAAAAAACAAAACCAAGGAAAACCACCACCATCAACAACAAAGAAAACCCTAAGACAAACAAATATCAACAAAGCCCAGAGATGAAGTTCTCTGCCCAGTAAAACATACTGCAGGTTCTTGGGCTAAATCTGCTCTGACACACAAAACAAAGAGTCCATAAGCCAGGCCTGGTGGCACATGCCTGTAGTCCCAGCTACTCAGGAGGCTGAGGTGGGAGGATCGCTGGAGCCCCGGCGTTTGAGTCCTGCCTGGGCAACATAGCAAGACCCCATCTCTAAAAAAAAAAAAAAATTAAAAAAAAAGAAAGAGTCTATCAGAACTGTTTAAAGTAGAGGAACAGGGTAGAAAAAGACAGTTGAGAAACTAGAGTATAACCCGTCCCTAATCAGAAAATATTTTTAAATGCTGACAACCCTAGTCTAAAAGGAAAGCCTCCAACAATCCTCCCCAGCAGTTATACCACCCACAGAACTGTAGTTACTGACTTTGCCTGTTTACTTCCTGTTGTGGACATTAGTAAGGGTGAGCTGGGACAAAATCCTGGATTTTTTCTCTGTTCCATGCTGGATCTCCATCTGGATTCTCTTCTAAGAGTCCTCTTCTCAGGAGAGACTTAGGAACAGTTTCAGATCAAAGAAGACTAGAGAGACAATATAACTAAATGCAATGTGTGATCACAGATTGGAAATTAGATTGAAAAAAAATTAAGCTATAAAGGACATTACTGGAAGGACTAGGGACACTTGAATACAGAATGTATATTAGATAATAGGATTGTATCAACATTAAATTTCTTAAGTATGATCATTGTCTTGTGGTTATATAAGATAATGTCCTTTTTCTTAAAAGATCTATGGTGCAATATTTAGGGGTGATATGTCATATGTCATGGTGTTGACAACTAACTCAAATGGTTAAAGAAAGAAAAGCAGTTGACTACACACACACACACACACACACACACACACACGGAGAGAAAAATAAAGCAAGTGAAGCAACTGTTAACAACTTAGGTGATAAGTAGATGGGTGTTTGTTGTAGTATTCTTTTTTTTTTTTTGAGACAGAGTCTCACTGTGTTGCCCGGGCTAGAGTGCCATGGCGTCATCCTAGCTCACAGCAACCTCAAACTCCTGGGCTCAAGCGATCCTCCTGCCTCAGCCTCCCGAGTAGCTGGGACTACAGGCATGCGCCACCATGCCTGGCTAATTTTTTTTTCTCTATATTTTTAGTTGTCCAATTAATTTCTTTCTAATTTTAGTAGAGACGGGGTCTCGCTTTTGCTCAGGCTGGTTTCGAACTCCTGAGCTCAAACAATCCGCCCGCCTCAGCCTCCCAGAGAGCTAGGATTATAGGCGTGAGCCACCGCGCCCGGCCTGTTGTAGTATTCTTGCAACGTTTTTTATATTTGAAATTTTCCAAAGTAAAAAGTTGAGAAAAACTTTTAAAATAAAGATGGGGCACTGCCTAGAGATCAAAACAACACAGATATACAAACTCTAAAAACAAAGATGTGCTCTGTTCTCTTCAAATGCAGGAAAAAGAATCTCAAATAACCCAGCCTACCAAGAACACAGTCCCTATAGCTGCAGGGCCCAACCCCCTGGCTGCAGACGGTACCAGTCCGTGGGTGGCCTGTTAGGAACCAGGCTGCGCAGCAGGAGGTGAGCGGTGAGCAAGCGAGCGAAGCTTCGTCTGCATTTACAGCCACTCCCCATCGCCCGCATCGCTACCTGAGCTCCACCTCCCGTCAGATCCACGGTGGCATCAGATTCTGCATTATGGTGAGTCTGTATAATTATTTCATTATATATTGCAATGTAATAATAATAGAAATAAAGTGTACAATAAATGTAATGAGGTTGAATCATCCCAAAACCATTCCTTCCCCCGCCCCAGCCCCGCTGGTACATGGAAAAACTGTCTTCCATGAAAACCGTCCCTGGTGCCAAAAAGGTTGCAGACTGCTGCCCTGTACCACTGAGCTAACTAAGAAGGGACAAATAATTAAACTGGTTTTTTTGAGTATTAAAATAGTGATTTTCTACTGATGCCTAATATTTAATAATAAAGATTAATTAGGGCAGTCAGTGCACCCGATTTATAACTTGTACAGAACTACGTTGAAGCAGGCTGAGCTACTTCCTGCGTGAGTGATAAGAAATGAGAGGGTGGGGGGGTGGCCACAGGAAAGATCAGCCCATCGTGCAGCACTGGAAACCTCACGTACCTGGGGTCTGATTCATCTGCTTACCATGCGGCCCCTTCACTCCGAACAGGCACTGCAAAGCAGGCCAGAAAGCACAATTTTGCACGTAGAAAAAAGGTGAAGTGTTACCTTTGAGGGCCTACCTGTTTCACCTGGATAAATGTCAAGGGATAAAGGCTTTTTATGGGCCCAGAGGGACACAGAATGTCCAGAGCTGCCTCCACCGTCTTTAACTGAAAAGAAACAAAAGTAGCGTTCACTCTCTGCCACCCCTCACTGGTGATCAGAGGCGGGGGGTATCATTTCCAATTTACCAAAGACACGAGTGGAAACCCCTAATTAGACCTAAATTGTTCACATGTCACCTAATGCTGCTTCCCAGTCACCTTCAGGCCTCTCCATCCACTCCCTAAACTCTCGATGAAAGATATAAATGACAGCAGTCTTCAGAAACATTTCCAACACGCCTATTCAGAAATAAAAATACAACCTGCTGAGAGATCTGTAAAGGCCCCTAAAATGAGTGAAAACCAAGGCTCAGAGGCCGCCTCCTCTGTAAAGCCTTCCCCAACATCCCTGCAGTGAAGTAACTATGAGGTAAAAATAGTAGAGGCAAATTACACTAAATGAGATTAGATATGCTACTATTATGTCACCTCAATACTTCATAGTTACTTCACCTCCTCTGAACTTGTCTGTAGCATATTTTCCATGCCCGTATTGTTTATCAGTTGTTTATCTTTGTTGTCCTCATCAGAACGTCAGCCCCTTAAGGGTAAAATAGATACTCTGCTCACCCCCAGTGCCCAGAACGTAATACACACTTGATAAATACTTATTATATTCAATCCAAAGGACTGTGTATTCTTGCAACCCAGGATACTTATTCTGACGCAATAATAACAATAACAACAGCTACCAGTCATTGCCTGTCCACATACTCCAGTTGAGACAGACCATTTTACACACACTACCTCATTTTTTTTTTTTTTTTTTGAGACAGAGTCTGGCACTGTTACCCAGGCTAGAGTGCAGTGGCGTCATCATAGCTCACAGCAACCTCAAACTCCTGGGCTCAAGTGATCCTCCTGTTCCAGCCTCTGGGGTAGCTGGGACTACAGGTGAGCGCTACCACGCCTGGCTAAGTTTTCTATTTTTTGTAGAGATGGGGTCTCCCTCTTGCTCAGGCTGGTCTTGAATTCCTGAGCTCTAGTGAACCTCCCGCCTCGGCCTTCCAGAGTGCTAGGATTATAGGCGTGAGCTACCACGCCCGGCCTATACCACCTCACTGAATATTCACAACTACCCAGTCACCTTTGAGGTGACAGTGAGGCAGGCATTACTGTCCTCAGGTTATAGAGGAGGAAACAGAGACTCAGAGACGCTCACTTGAGTGATGGCAGAGCCAGGATTTGCAGTTGGGTTTGGCTCCCAAATCCAGGGCTTTCCACAACATGATACTGATTAGGAATTTTATAAATAGTTCCCATGGTTACTGTGCTGATGTGCTGCACAGAGAAAAAAATCTTAACTACAGTTCCATCAAGCCAGCCATTCCCATGGGTGTTTTCTCACCTGGACAACTAAAGGAATTCAACTCATGGTAAAAGCTTTTATTCCACATAACTATGTTCTACATACATTCAATTCAGTTATATACTGATTCGTTATCTTAAATTGTATACATTTAGTCAACAATGAAAAGCCATTTCTGTGCACCCAGTTTTCCTTCACGGTAAACAGAATGTGCTTCTGGTACTAAGGTAGTTTTCTTTTAGCAATTTTGTTGTTTTCAACATTTGGAGTTATTTTCTGTAGCATAAAAATAAATTTCTCACAGATCTACAACAAACAAACCAACACTTTCCTTAAGTAGCTGAAGCAATGAGCAAGTAGAAGGCGCTCCCTTTACAAGTGTGGTTGAAGTCTGATTAATCTAAAGAGAGATTCCTATCAGGCAGAGAGACCACACTCTTATAGAAGGCAGCACCTGTATCTGACACTACGTGGAAAATGTTAGAAGAGCTCACCCCACTAACCATCATGTCAAAGGGCTTCTCGAGTGGAAAAATTATATAATCGTCATGTTTGGCATTTTGCTTAAAGATAAAAACTTATGATGCTATTTTAGGATATCAAGATTCTTAAGAACTAAGTAACTGCTCATGTTTTTTTCTTTTTTTTTCCTTGTGAGTTAATATGTGTAGGAGTTAGGGATTATAAAAGGGGAAAGCCTGAAGACACAGAAGGTCAAAACAAATCGAGTTTGGCTTACGTCAATCCTTCTGACTATTAAATAGAACCTCTGCTTTTTATTTTTCCCTAGAAAACAATGCTTGTAACTCCCATTTATGATTAATTTCTAGCTCCCCCCCTTATATCTCATATGCCATATGAACCACAGATCATAAAAATAAGGCCATCATTTTGAGATGGAGGGGAGTGTATAATTTAAGGCAGAGACCTAGCAACATGCTTGTGATTTTTGGGAGCCCCTTTAAAAAAAGTGAACTATGGAAAACAGCCTCTCTAGCCAGAACAATGAGGTGGCATGTAATTTCCACAAAGGCTCCTGGCACTGCGTTTGACAACTGATAACTGAACCCAAATGACCTGAATGATCTAAGAACGCTACCACTCCCGCTCACATCCCATTTGCTCATCTGGTCAATAAGCGTGTGTATCTTCTCACCTCCATCTCGCCATTTACCCGAAACATCATCTACCCTATCAGGCTCGCAGACACAGATTCACAGAAAAATAACGAACCGATTCCCCAGCACAGCACTTTCACTCACTGCTGCTAAACTCCACTTCCTCACTCCCA